ACATTAACAAACCTCTGCAATCTTCACTGACCATTAGTGCTGTTTTCTGTTTGTATTCTGGAAACTACATGTTGTTCTGTTGGGTTTCTTTGGTTAATTTATTTCCTTAAAGCAGGAGACCTCTTTTGACCTTCAGTGCAGAGATGTCAGACCAATTCTTTGTATTACACTTGGTTGCCTCCTACCTATATAATAACTTCTGAGTGTAAATAATTGAACTCTATCCTCTAATGAAGTATTGTAGAGAATAAATCATAATGGATAAAGATATTTGTACTGTCCTCTGTATGTGGTTTCTCACAGCCTTTATGGGGGATAAGATGAAATCATTCTCATCTAGAAAGACAAACAGTATATTACAGGTCTGAATAACAAACCTGTAAATAACACTGAATGTTCAGAACCAGGGAGGTTGCCAGAGTGGGATGGCAGCTGTCTGGAAGCACAGAAACAGTCAGACAGGCTCCCTAGAAGAAAGCAAGCTAAAATAGAAGGAAAATTAAAACCGACCACTAAATATGTTTCATGAATAATGGTGTAGCAGTGTCTTTGTATCCTGAAATAATGTTTGCTTGACGATAACTTTCTGTCATGATGATGTGCCATGACATATATAAAGCACATACGTACAGAGTACCCTAAATCTGTCTGAAACTACCAAAATGGTTCTTTGGGTTTTTGTCTTCTAGAATGAACTAATGAGAGCAGATTGTCTATACTCTGAGGCTGTAGTCTTAAGGTGATCTAAAAATATTATTTCAGAAGAAACACCTTCATCCTTCTAGATTCTTGCAATTTGAATGTTTGTTTTGGGACAGGATTAACTGATTTGTGGAATAGTTTTGAATTATACCTGATTTTTTTCCATACGCTGTCAGGTTATTGTTAACTTTTTATCTGTGGCAGATGTGTTGTTGGAAATCCTACATTTTCTGCTTGTGGCTCTTGGGAAGGGCAGCCTTGGATGCCAATGAACAGTCATAAGACCCCAAAGAAAACACCAACCAAACCAAGGGGGGGAAGGTACTTTTGACTGAAATGTGCCTGAGAAGCTCCTTGACCTCAGCGCAACTACAAAGCAAAAACCTATTTTCAGAAAATATGCTGTGGTACTAGTCAGGCTAGAAAGTAAATCCCCTAGGCAATGTGAGGAGGGGTTGAGGAGGACACTGGGGACTAATGTGATTTCCAGGTGCCTCCTTGTTATTTCTGAAGTTACCCATATCACTGCCATCGTGTGCCCAAGGAAGTTATCAGGTATATTCTCTGCGCTTTGTTGTCAGGAATACATTGACTTTTTGTACATTTTTGTGTCATATGCTTTTCCTTACTTGATTTTTTTTGTTTCCTATTGAATCAGTCAGACATAAAATCATCCTCTGGTGTCTTTCAGTAGAGGTTCTTCCGTGCATGTTGCATTCTGTGACCACAGGAACACTCACTCAGCAGCTCACAGGGAGGATGAGGCCAGGTAGAAGGGTGTACATATGACTGCACACTGAAATAGGTCAATCCAGGCTAAATATAAACCAAGATAATTCTCCTGGAAACACTTTCTTCTGTTGTTACTCCTGTTTGAAATAAGAAACAAAATTAATTACTCATTTGGTACTCACTTCTTTCTAGAACCAAATTAAAGGAGGAATTTCTACAAGACACTTCAAATGAAGAATACTTGAGCATTTTTATTCTAAACACACACAAAAAAGAATTTTATTTTACCTGTGACTGAGAAATGCCACCTCTTGAAGATAAAAATGAAAACCAGAAAAAACCTAAAAATTTTCCCATGAGCCTCAATAAGTCAATATTTATACTGACAGTACATAGAGCAGTGTGATAGGAAAGTTCCTAGGCTGGTTTTCCCATGGTCTGGGAAAAGATGACTTGTGTGTGTTTGATGATCACTCACAAGAAACCATAGAAGAGTATTGTTCTCATGTTCCTTAAAACAAGTATATAGTTCTGTAAAATGAACAATATCCAGATTATTGAACCATATTTTTTTCCCTTCTCTGTAGTCAGCTAGACTGTTCTCATAATCAGATTAATTCTGGCAGAAATTATGCATGATGCAACCAGTTGATAGCATGTCTAGATGTCATACAAAGCTGAACAGATCATGCAGTTTTGCATTCAGAGGCTTACTATGACTTTATTACTGGCTATTAATATAATCTTACTTTGCTCATACATGTTCATTCCTTACAGTTTGGGAGATATAATTTTAAATGGAGTCAAAATAAAGGCAAAAATGGTGTGAAAACCTAAACCTGAAGAGTTATACTTTAAGAACACAGATGAAAATCACTCATGTCTTGGCCAATACTGGCTATGGTGGCACACGGTGTTCTCAGTGGGTGGTTATCTCCACAAGGATCACACTGGCACTCCACAGAAAATGTGTAATTACTGTTTGAAAGCTTAAAAAACTGCTAGGAAAATCACATTTCTGCTGCTGGTTTAGAAGAAAAGCATATTACAAAGTGGGTTTATGCTAATAATAGAATATCCTTGTTATTAGCTCTTCCTACATTTGATTACATGGAGGTATTTAGCTTAGTATTTTGTAAGATCTGTGGAGGTGCAATTAGTGTTTACAGGCTCTGTGTTTCAACTATAGCAACGTAGGAATTACCATAATAGGTCTGTCTAACAATCTGCTACTTAATAACATGTCTCCAGCAAGGACCAATGCTTTTTCCCTGGAATATGGAATATTAGAGGCTCTGTTCATGACAAATTACATTTGGCCTAGTATTCTTTTTTTTTTTTTTAATCAGTTTATTTTAGGATGTGACCACTAAAGCTGCTCAAAAGTTCCTATAGTCTTTATTTTAATCAACCTCATCTTCCTTTTCTATGCGTATTTTGTTGGCAAATGCTGAAACAGTCATTATTTGTGAGGAAAAAGCCAGAGCATTTTAAAAATGACAAAAAAGTCAGGTACCCTGCTGTGTTTGGTTTGTTGCAGCAGCTGAACAATACTTCCTGTGGAGTTTATAAGTTCATTTTTTAAATTCTTCAAAACAAAACACATCAGTGATAATGGATGTAATCTTTTACGATAGCCTCTTAAACTGTACCTATAAACTCTTGCAAGAATCTGGTTCTCTTTAGTTTTTGTATACTTAAGTAGAATGAATCTCTGGGGGAAAACCAACAGGGATATTAATAACTTAAACCTCAGCGAGCTACCTACTGCTCTGAGAATCATGATCTGAGTTGATGGGGTATTTCAGGCAGGATTCCAAATGATTTTAAATGCTTCTCTGGTCAATCTGGCATGGATTTCTTTGCTTTCTTGTAAACCTAATTGAAATTGTTTAATTTGCCAGATGTTCCCCGAGATATTTCCATTCCATTTCTTACTGGATGTCTTTCTGCTTGTACCACTTAGCAAATTACTTTCCATTCAGTTTCTCTTCTATGCTCATTATCCAGATAACAAATATTAGAAATCTGTTATTTGGCCACTTCATATTCCTATAGTTTATTTTTAATGCATTCCTTTTCCCAATGGTTCACCTAAGCACAGATGCAGTTCATGAGAACAGGAGTGGTTTCATCATAAATCCTCCAACAGTCTATTTTTGCCTTTCTTTAGGGGTGCAGGATGACATAGTAAGGGCTGATAAGATGATTACTTTAAGAGTCTTAGGCTGGTTAGGCACTTACATGTGAGCTCTCCAGGGAAAACACTACTCCATAAGTTATTTTGCTGGCAGTGCTGGAGAACTATCTTCATTTTCAGCCTGCCTATAACTTTTAGGGGTCTGTAGATTGCTTCTGGATAGTCTGAAATAGTAACCTTCCTCACAGAGTGTTATGATACCAATACTCCTTCATTACAGACCGAGGTCTATTAATCACAGTGAGCTAGACAGAAATTTTGGCACAGTTTTCCCAAGGCTGGGTTTTGCTGTCTAGCTGGAGGATGTTCTGGTGGCGAAACAGAGCAGGCTGTACCTCACTGATCCACTGATGTGAAGATGTACCTGCTGCCTTGGTGCCCCCGGGTGCTCCTGGGCAAATGGGTGCTGCTGTGCAGTCTGGGGAGGGGGACCAGCACAGTTTTGAGCTCTTCGGTTATCTCCTAAAGGACAGAGCAGAAGAAGGGTTTGCTCATGTGAAGGACAAGCACTGTTTCCCTCAGTGTTCCTCCACATCCTGCTCTCAGGCCCTGGTTTGTGCCTTGTAAGACTTTGGGCTCATGATCACAGAATCAATTAGTTGGAAGAGACCTCTGTGATCACCCTGTAATGGAACACCATGACAACTAGACCATGGCACTGAGTACCACGTCCAGGCTATCCTTAAACACCTCCAGGGACAGTGACTCCACCACTTCCCTGGGCAGCCCATTCCAAGGCCTTATCCCTTCTGTGAAGAATTTCTTCCTAAAGTCCAACTTTGACCTCATCTCCTGACGCAACTTAAAATCATGTCCCCTCATCCAGTCCATGGCTGCCTGGGTCTTGGTATGATGATGCCTTGGTCTGTCACAGCTGTTTGCCCCGTGTTCACATAAACAACGCTCAGCACCCAACCTCGTTCCGTCTCTGAAAGGAGCTCATTGCTAAGCGAGCTTAAACACACCTCTGAGGGCTGCTTCGTGGAGGGGAGGGGCTGCTCAGGAGCCCTGTTCCCGCTGTTTCCCCCCGGTTCTCCACAGCGGCAACTCCGCTTTTTTATATTCGGCAGTGCTCGGGGTAGAACGGACCATCGGCCCCTCTCATCGGGGAGAAACACTCTCCGCCCGCCCGGCCGGCCGTCACACGGGCAGAGCCGCTCCTCACACGGGGGAGAACCAGCCTCCTCCTGCCCCTCACACCGGGGAGAACCAGCCTCCTCCCGCCCCTCACACCGGGGAGAACCAGCCTCCCCCCGCCCCTCACACGGGGCAGAACCAGCCTCCTCCCGCCCCTCACACCGGGGAGGACCAGCCTCCTCCCGCCCCTCACACAGGAGAACCGCCCTCTCTCGGCGGAGCTGCCTTTCCGCTGCGGGTTTCCGGCGATGGCGGCGGGCGGCAGCGACCCGCGGGCGGCGGACGTGGAGGAGGACGCCTCGCAGCTCGTCTTCCCCAAAGGTGCGGGCGGGGGTCGGGGCGCCGGGCCGGGCGGGAGTCGGGGCTGGCGGCGGCCGCCCGTGAGGGAACGAGCCCCGCCGGGCAGCTCAGAGGGACTGGAGCGCTGCTCAACACCCCTGACTCTCCTCCACCGGTTACAGAGCCCCGAGTCTTAAAAATCGGGATAATAAATCATTTATATACGTTTCAGGACCTCGTGGTTGCTAGGATGTGGCAGTTTTTATGTGGGCCTCTGTGTGTGTGTGTACAGGATTTAAAAAAAAAAAAAAAATCCTGTCAGGCTACAGTGAAAAGATCATTGCTTTTGGGTATAACCGTTACATTTTCCACTGACGTTTCTCGACATACGAATTCTTCCCTGTGAGGGTGGTGGGGCCCTGGCACAGGTTGCCCAGAGAAGCTGTGGCTGCCCCATCCCTGGAAGTGTCCAAGCCTTGGAGCAATCATGTTCAGCCTAAGTTAATTTACTGCTCAATGCAAAACAAGGTTTGCCAGTCCCATTCTAGCACTGCCCTGTATCTGCTTGTATAAAACAGTGCTGACAGGCACCCTGGCATGCAGCCTTTGGCCCTTTGCTCATAGTGCTGATGTTGAAAGACCTTCTTATTACTGGAATGTATGTAGTGGTTATGGTGATGATGAATGAAAACAAAGCTGGTTAAAAAGGGGGGGGAATCTATTAAGATTAGTTAAAAGGTTTTTTTCTGATAATTGTAGTAGGTCAATTAACTTTTCAAGTAAACAAAATATTTTTTAAAATGTTCAAAACATCCATATTTATTTCAAGAAATCAGAGGCTTCTGAAGGCCGTAAGCATCGCTTCTGAATTTTTTTGACTATTACAGTTCTAAAAATTTTTTTTCTAAAGCGTTTCATGCATTCCTTAAATTCTACTTAAAAAGGGTGAGGAAAACATACTGTAAAACTATGAAAAATCGTAATGTTAGGGCCGTAAGTGTAAAATACCAGATCAAAAGGCAAACACCTCAGATTGTCACTTGAAGTGGTATAATTTTTATCAGCATTTTCAATATGAAATGCTGCCCATTCATTGGCGAAAGAGCTCACACAACTGCCATGAAACACATTGTTCAGTTCTTTATTGCCCAGGGCTCGATTTTCTTAAAAAATGTCCATAATTCTCCTTTTCATCTATGCCTCACCTTCTTTGGTGCTGGTGTTCTCTCATTCGACTGCAGAATTTGAAACTGCGGAAACTCTCCTGAACTCAGAGGTGCACATGCTGCTGGAGCATCGGAAGCAGCAGAACGAGAGTGCAGAGGATGAGCAGGAGCTGTCAGAAGTCTTCATGAAAACCTTGAATTACACAGCGCGCTTCAGCCGCTTCAAAAACCGTGAAACCATCGCCAGTGTGCGCAGGTGAGTGGGAAAGATGGGGAATAACACTTACTGGAGAATTTGATCTGTAAATAATGTGGATGCTGCTTTATGAAAGTACAGTTTAGCGGTGTTTCCTGATTTGTTCTTTAATTCTTTCCAAAGAGGCAGGAAATTTGATCATAATTCTTGACAGTGGGCTGTACTTTGTTCAGGTTAAGCCTTGTGAACTGCTTTATTTTCAGTATTTCAGTGGTAGCTGACTGCATTAAATGGGAGGATTTTCTAGTCTTTGCAGAGTAATTCAGGGTAAGTAGATTTAGCAGATGGGACTTTTTTTTTCCTCTATGCAATTCCATAATGATTATTTCCTCTTGAAAAAACCTGACTTCAGCGCCAAAAGCAGTGTGAAAAAAGATACCCATTTGGTTTAGTTATGCCCTTTTATATTTCTGTTTTGTAATTTCACCAAGTTGTCTTTCCTTACAGTTTGCTACTCCAGAAAAAGCTCCATAAGTTTGAATTGGCTTGTTTGGCTAACTTGTGTCCTGAGACAGCTGAGGAGGCCAAAGCTCTCATTCCTAGGTGAGCACTTAAAGACTGCTTCATACTTTCCTGTGATCTAAAACCAGCTGTGGGCAGGTGCTCTCGCCTCAGTGCAGCTCTGTTGATGCAAGAACACTCGATCTTGGTCTTTCCTCCCCTACCCACTGCTCTGACAGCAAGGCACTGTTTGAGCATGTCCCTAATTCATTCCTGACAACTTCTACTGGATTAAATGTAAACAGCTTAAATTGGGGTTCTTAGCTGGCTGTCTTTGTGTTTGTTGGAGATTTTCGCTGTTGGAGCAAATGAACTGTTTTGTGGATAAGATATGGGGAAGCAGTAACTTCTTGATGTCTTGATTGGTTACCTCATGTCCGGAGAGAGAGGAGGGAACAAAACGTGCATCTAAATTACAGTTTCTTCCTTATATGTCATTATATAAAAGAGAAGGCTTTAGGATGACCTAATTGTGGTCTCCCAGTGCCTAAAAGGAGCCTACAAGAAAGATGAAGAGAGGCTTTTTACAAGAGCAGGTAGTGACAGGAGGAGGGGGAACAGCTTCAAACTGAAAGAGAGTAGGTTTAGTTTAGGGATTAGAAAAAATTCTTCCCTGTGAGGGTGGGGAGGCCCTGGCACAGCTTGCCCAGAGAAGCTGTGGCTGCCCCATCCCTGGGAGTGTTCAAGGCCAGCTTGGACAGGGCTTTTTGATAACACATCTAGAAATTATTTAGCAGAAGGTTCTGGGAAGGATGGAGTTTTGTCATAAAAAGAGGAGACCCTGCATAGGGATTAGAGTACTCTTTGAACAGTAACATTACAGATGGTTCCTGGTGGTTACGTACAGGTGAGCGATGGCACGTTGAGGCAGATGGGAGGGAATTATGACTGAAATGAATCTGGGGGAGATTATTTCTGAAAGCTTTAATGTCTCCTCGTTGTTCTTATCTTGCAGCCTGGAGGGCCGGTTTGAAGATGAGGAATTACAGCAGATTCTCGATGACATTCAGACTAAACGCAGCTTCCAATATTAAGGTTAACCCTCAACCCTTTTATCTGAACAGAAGAACCTGGGGAGTTTGTTTCTCAGCCCTCTGGACCAGCTGAGCTCCTGGCTGAGTGAGGGAAGTTGTGGACACAGGGTACTTCAGTGCTGTGTCATCACAGGTGCATTCAGACTGGAGATCAGCATCGTCATCTTGGTTTGTTCCATCTGTATATTGGCAAGGGCCCCTGTATTGTGAGAGCCAAAGAACCCGAAAAGCCTTTTCCCAGTGGCTCAGATATTTGTTTCTTCACCAAACTCTCTCCCCAGTTTGTAAATTTTCACCGTGTTTCTGGGTTTTAGCAGAAATATAGATGTAATTTAATTTCTGGGGGGGAATTTCTAAAAGAGACGGAGAAACTTATTCTTGGCTCTCAGAAGATTCAGTCATGGGCAGCATCAACTTCTGTGGTGTTTTTTTTGTTTGTTTGGGGTCATTTTATTGTTTGATTAGGACAGTGAATTTTTACAGCTTCAATAATTTTCTATTGTTTAGTGTAAATTAAAATATATTTTTCATTAAAATTGTGTGGTTTATAAACATTGGGTGCATATTATGATTTTGTTAATGAGGATCTTTTCGACAAGTAGATCCTGGGGATCTGGGGACTGCCAAGCGTTTTACAATTTAGGGCAGATCAGACAGAGGTGGTATTAACTATGATCACAGTGAGAGAGCATTTGGGCAGCATGAACATGTCTGCCAAGTGATTGCAGACACCTACTTGTTACAGAAAAGAAAGAGTTAACCCATAAATTTGATGCTGACAAAGCCAGGTATCCACTCCTGGAGGGACAGACTCCTGAAGTAGTTTGCCAAGTGCCCTAATCCTGAAAGGAACCAAACCATGGAGGGGTGGCTCCTGGTGCAGCCTGTGGGAGTGGCACACCCAGCAGCTGGTAGATTCACAGATTGCTGGCTTTTCGTTGAAGTGAATGTTCTTTTAGTTGGGATAAGCTTCTTAGCCTGCCTTCTCAAATCTTACAGTTTTACCACCACACCTGGAAGAAGGAAGATTTTGCAGGAAGGAGCATCTGGACAGAGAGGAAGACAGGTGTGTTAAGACACTATTTGTGAGGATAAGCAATAAAGTTTCAGTGACCTTGCAAAAGGGAGAGAAATACAATATTATTTCAGGTTTTACTGGCAACTGAATGTTGCTGCTGTGCTGAAAGGCCACGCTGATATGTGACAACTGTTAGGGCTACCTCACCTGAGCACATTACCTCAAACAGGATCTGTGTCTGCTGGAGTGTCTTTTGCATGACAATAAACCAGACATGCCTCTCTAACCAACCACAGGAATTTTAACTAGGTCAGAGATCGTTACAACTAAAGAAGAAAAAGAAAACTGAGGTAGTGAACCTTTATTTTACAAAGCTCAGTGTCCCCTTCTGATGCAGGATATGCCTTCCAGTAGCTGCTCCCCCTGAACCTGGTTTGCTCTGTATGTTTGTGTTCAAGCAGCTTTAAGAAATTTTCATCTTTTAAACACACAGGCTGTTATGTCTCAGTGACAACTCATTCAGGGAAAAAAAGCCATTCTGCACCTTTTTTGCCTACAGTCCTGGGTAAAAGGATGTAATAATTGTAACTGGAAGGCATTAGTGCTTGTTGATGCCTTTGTAAGCAAACAAGACTCCCGACGAGAAGTGTTATGGACCAAATGATCCCACAAGATTTGCACCGCCCTCCACAAAGAGATAATCATGAGCCTTAAGATTAGTTGGTTTTGATTCCTGTGTTTTGAAACTCAGGAACGGGTTCTGAGGAGAAGGGAATAATGGAAACAGGTTGGCAAAGACCTCTGAGTCCACGGAGTCCAACCTGTGACTGAACAGCACCACGACAGCTACACCAGGGCACTGAGTGCCACAGCCAGTCTTTCCTTGAGCGCCTCCAGCGGTGGCGACTCCGCCACCTGCCCGTGCAGCCGGTTCCAGAGGTGTGTGTGGGTGCGTGCGGGTGTTCGGAGCGCAGGGAGCACCGACAGCCCTGACAGCACCGACAGCCCTGACAGCGCTGCCCGCGCTCCGGCCGTGACCTCCCGCCGCCCCTCTGCGCATGCGCGCGCCCCTGCCCCGTGATTGAGGCCTCACGAACGCCCCCCCTCCGCCGCTCTGCGCATGCGCGGGGGCCGCCGCGCCTCTCGTGCCCCCGCCCCGCCCCTGCCCCGCGCGCCTCGACATAGCGCGCGTGCGCGCCGGCGCGGTGCGCGTGCGCGGTGCGGGCGCTGTCGGCGGGGGCGGCGGAGGGAAGATGGCGGGCGGCCGCGGCGCGTGAGGCGGCGGCGCTGCCGGGGCCGGGAGGACGAGGCGGGCGGCGGAGCGGCGGCGGCGGCGGGGCGCGGAGTCCCGGTACGAGAGGGCCGGCTGGGCGGGAGGGCGTCTCGGTGCTGGGCGGGGCGGGTGAGCAGCCCTGGGAAGCGCGGCCGCCTCCGCCATCTTTAGGCCGCGGCCCAGGACCGGCGCGGCCGGGGCAGGGCGGGGGCCGCCGGCCGGAACGGCGGGTGCCCGGGCCGGGGCGCCCCGGGGAGCAGCGAGCACAGCCCCAGCGCCGCGGCCGGCCCCGCGGTGCGGTTGCTCGAGGGCCGGGGCAGGGAGCGGACGGCAGGGCCCCTGTCCCGCCTGCCCCACTGGTGTCTGGTGGCGGCCTCGCCCGACTCTCTATCCTACCTTTTTCTACGTTCTAATTTTTTTTTAATTGCTTTGGGTCTGATTTGAGACCGGGTTGTGGCTGTTTGGCCATAGGGTTGAGAAAGCCCTGACCATTACGGACCCTGTTAGATACATTATACTTTCTGTTTATGTAGTCCTTCACGAGGGGAATCCTCTCTGTATTAAGGAGAGAGAAGAAACAGGTACACACTGGTTGGTATTTGAGCTTCTCAGATGCCAAGTGAGATAACTGCATTTCCCAATAAAAGACGGTCTTAGTGCTGTGGGGCCGATAAACATTGGTAGAAGGAGGGGAAGGCAATACGTTCAGGTATCTTGGGTTTTCTTGCGGGTTCTGAAAGTGCTGTTGCTCCCATTTTGCACTGTATAATGCTGTACAATAACACTACTCTTAGAATACGTTCCTTGCAATAAAATAAGGCAGCCGTGTGCACCAGGCACTTGCTCTTGCAGGCAGGGTGGGAGGGTTTAATAACCATGTGGTGTCACATTCCACTGATTGAGACTCACCAGCCTGTGGTTGTGGCATGGGGAGCAAACCTAGGGGACCTGTTAAACTTGAAAAAATACTTTAGTGTTTTTCCCCTGGAGAGAACTCATTAAACTTCTTTCCTTCTTAGAGAGGGTGTTATTTCTCTCTTGCTAACTGTTAGCTTCTTTGTTATGATATGTGTGGTCTCAAATGCAGTATTTTGAGATATTGGCATTTGCTTAAGCACATCTGTTTGTCTGACAGAATTGTCATAGGTAAGTAGTTCTGTGCTCTGCAAGTCTTGTATCTCATCGTATCTTTACTTGCAATTTGTGGGTACTATTTGGGAGTCTGTTTTTCTTAGTAGACAACAGTCACTCATCCATCTCTTTGCAGCAGATGTTTATTCTTCTATGCTTTTCTTAACTCAGACTGTTCTTCCTTCAGGAGAGGTGACACTATGTATCAGAGAGTTTATAGTATGCAAAGCATTGTGCCAAAATACCTTGGGGTTCCCTCTTCCTGAATTCTTTATCAAGTAAACTGACTCAGTAACTCAGCAGTTTGCTGCAATATTCTGCCACCATCTTACTGTAAGAGTATATAACCATCACACCTCTTTGAAAATTCTCGTTCTTAACATCTTGTTCAGTTGTGCTGTAGTAGCTCAGATGGGAAGATCTGAAAAGGTAGATACTGAAAATAAATGAAAATGTTGAAAGATGGGGGAAAAACGTTTGAACTGCAGAGAATGTTAGATGTAACTAGTGAATGTTCAGTACTCCTAGACTTGCTAAAACCTTTTAATTTAGAAGTCAGTCACTACAGTTACAGTCTTTCCCTGTTGCCTGAAGTGTTCATCCTTCATTGAATCCTTGCTGTAAACACCTATAAACATTAGGATGTTTGGACTACTGGAATTGAAAATTTCTCCTCAGTTTTTTATATCCTGTTATCAACACAAGAAGTAAAAACCCAATAAATTGTGGTTGAGATAGAGGTACTAGGAATGGCTTCATTTGCTGCAGTGGAGGGGCCCTGATCTGAGGAGGGGATAAGAAATCTCCTCTTTTGTTCCCATCCCTAACAGATATCCAGGTCTTCTGAGTCACCTGAAAAAAAATCATGGAGAAAACATTGAGTTGAGTTGCAGTATGGAAAAGATGCAGTTTAACTTTGTACTGAGGTGATTCCAGGCAAAATATTTCACTCTGTCTATCTGCTAAGGCATAGGTTTGATGATACCTGGGGAATATCAGTAGTTGGTTCACTAATAGTGGAAATGAAAGTAATTTTAGACTTGCTCAGATATAGGTTATAATTTAGAAAATGACCCCTATCTCTATGCAGGAAATTGTAAAAACAAGCTGAAAGCTGTCTGCAGTGTGTTTGTGATTTTTACAGAATTTGTTCTTTATTTGCCGTATTTTCATTCATGGTATTGTATCATTTTATTGTTGAAAGCTTTGTACGAAGCAAAAATACAGAGATGCTGGTTTGGTTGGTGTAGTTAATGAAGAGATGTCACTGATGAGGAGGCCTCAGTGGAACTGAACATTGTTAGAGCTTGGTGGAGTGGAGGGGATACAGTAAAGGGCTTTGAACAGATTAAAACCTCAAGATAACCTTAGTTTTTGCTTCTTATAGAGAATCTCTGGAAGTAAGAGCAGATCAGTAGAGGTTTTGATAGCTATATTTTGATAACTATATTTTGTCATTAATTTTACTTCAGTTTGAAGCATCCCTATTTTCCAAATGGTGCTAAACCTCTCAGCAATCTGTTCTTGCTCACTAGTGTCGAAAAAAGCTACTCAGCGTTTCATAGGATGTCAGTTCTGGTTTAACCAGCTCTCCACATTCAGGCTGGGTGTACCAGTCACTCTGTTGTACAGCTTGAAGTGGGATGTGAAGTGTAAGTGTGCCAGGAAAGCAAGTGAGCTGGTTTCTCTTGTGTTGTGACACTCCTTTTGCTGGCAGTGATGTGACACTTCTTTGGTACAGATCCTGCTGAGCTGCTTACAGTGACCATGGTCACAATTGGTAAGGCACTCTCTGAGTATGGAGGGATACCAAAGATCAAAGTATTTCACACTTTGGGACTAAGCCAACTGATATTGTTCCTGTTTTACCTCTGCACCAAATTATAAAAGGGGAGTATGTTTCTTTATAGCAAGAATGGCCTTGATAAACAGATCCCAGTTTATCTGGGAAGGTTATCTGTTTGTTGTTTCTTCATTTAAGAGAAAAAAAAATTAACGTAAATTAACCTAAATTCTATTCATTAAGATACCTTACTGAACAGGCAGAATAAGTGCCAACTTCCATCATGTTGGATAATATGTAGTGCTGAAAATCCATGTAAATAC